GGTGGCACTGAAGTGTACAAATTACCTGTTGGCAAACAAAGCAAGCAGGTCCTGATGCAGTCCATTCCTGCATCGCTCCTCCCGCTGCAAAATTATCTGCAAGTGATCCTGCTTTGCTGGGGAAACAGGCAAGCCGGAGTTCCCAAATGAGCATGTGAAAATTGCCTCACACTCTAAACCACGAGCCTGGGCAGAAGTATTGTGGCAAAAGGAAGGGCACGCAGTGTTTCTTAACTAATGAGAAGAAAATGGCTTTTGGACCAAGTTGTGAAATAGTGTCAGCTGGTATTCAGATCTTTTTCATAGGAGGAGTTGTCTAGGAGAGGTGAAGCATGGGATGTAGCTGTAAGAATCTGCTGGGTTCGTACTGTTGTCTCACAAACATGTTTTTTTGTTCTTCTCTGTTAAATGACTGAAAGCTGACTGTGCCAGGACAGCAAGACTTAAAAAATATCACAAATTTTTTTGATTCTTGCACTCTGCAGCAGAAACAATTTTGGAAGAGACATGTTGTGCAGTAAAAGGCCATTATTGCAATTTTATGCTGTCGTGGAACTGCTGGGTGGAGACTGAGTAGCCTCCAGTCCATGTCAGTCGAGTGAGCAGGAAAAAAAAATCCAGTTCTCTTAGCAACCTGATTTTGAGGAAGGTTCATTCCTGAGAGTAGACCTGGCTGAAATTATTTTCAAATTTTTTTTATAGCAAAATTTATTTCAAAATTTATTTATAGCAAAAATGCGGTTTTAAAGTGCCCAATATGTTAAATTGAATTAATATACAGTAGAGTGCTCCTGCTGTGCTGGAGGGTCATGCAAGTGATTTTTCGGACTGGATCAAATATTGTTTAGGCTTCATTTATGAGTGTGTCAGAGTACGGATCCACTTACTAAATGCATGTTAGTGTTACAGCGAAAAAACTGTGTTCATTATAAGTTCATTTAAAGGTAAGATACAATTGGTGAGCTGCCAGTATGGGATTGAGGAAAGTGTAGGTTGCCTCCTTGAGAGAAAAGCAAAATAAATTCAGTCTCCCAAAAGAATCCTGGTTTCCAGATTTAAACAAACAAACAAACAAAACAACAAAAAAACCCCACCCCAAAACCCCAAACCAAAACAAAAAGCAAACCAAAACAAAAAACCAAACCCCAAAACCCCAGGCTTGTAATACGAGTCTGTTAGGACTTGAATCCCATTTCTGTGTCTCTTTGAAATGTAAAATTAAATTTTGCTTTTCTTAGTGGAACTGCTTCAGGATTTCCCCCAGCCTTTGTTCTCTCTCACTCCTGTCTGGGAATCTTCAGCTGGGATCAGGTCACTTTCCAGAAGCGAAGGGTAAGGCTGACAGTTCTCAGAAAGTGGAAAAGCCACGTTGGCTCCTTTCCCCTTTTGTCCTAATGTTCTGCCATTCCACTTCCAGTAATTTCAGTGGTAATTTAAGCTTGAATAGTTGGAGTAGCTTAAAAAAAACTATTCTTAGGGCAGAGAATTTGCCTGAAAAGTCGTTGGCTGCTGGCTTTATTCGACTCGCTTTTGCATCTGTGAGCTTGGTAGTGGTTTCTGACCAGGTCCACGTCTTCCCTCAAAATCCCAAGCACTATTCCTGTTGCACCACATCGTGCCTTGAAGAAACAGCGTGTCTTGGCTTAGAGAATGACTGGTTGATAAACATGATCAAATAAATGTCTCTCTGGGAGAGTTTTGAAGCTTATTTTCACAGCCTTCATTTTTTGGAGGGTAAGACGACTAACCCCCTTGCTATAATGAGGGGGTTTTCTCCTCCTGCCTCCTGGAAGAAGGGTACGATTGTCACAAGTGTATGTCACCTTCATCTGAAAACCCATTTATGTGGTCAGACTGTGGGAATAGATCCTGGTTTCTTCTAAAGTTTCTTTCTTTCTGTAGCTCTCTTCAGTGAGAATGATAGCAATCTCGTTAGTGTGGCTGTGTATTGAAAAGTAAAATAAGTTTGATATAATAGCATTTAATATCACGCCATTCACAAATGCTTAACTTCTGAAATTATTCTGGTGTCAGACATTTTCAGTGTAAGCAGAGCTGGCTCAATGCCAGTCATGCTTATGAAAAAAACAAATATTATGGACACTTGTGAGTCTGACCGTGATGGTACCACTTCGAAAAGAAGCCAGGGCTGTCTGAATTGTAAAGCCAAGCAGACACGAGTTGCTAAAATCACAGGCTGCTGTTTCAACCTGAGTTTTTTTGGCCCTTGCACTTGCTTGGTGTAACTGGGTGATGTAGGAGTCCAGGGGGAAATGCAGTGCGTGCTCGAGTAATTAAAATCTGTGATATAACACATACCCAATGGGAGAGGGAATTAAGCTTGCACTGTCACCTGTAAATCTTGCGTTTGCTAATTTAAGCGCATGACTGAGCTGCGTTAATTGCTCAAAAAAAACCCCAAAAAACCCACACTGGGGGCTGATGTTGGCAGCTGGTTGTGTTTGCTGAGACCACAGGCTTTAGTGCTGCTGCCTTCAGGGACAGTTTATGATAAGTGGCAACAAAGGAAGGTGATGGTTCAGACTGATACACCTGCTCTGGCATTTTAAGTTTCCTACTCAAATAGCTTTACAATAAATGTGAGTTTAAAAAAAAAAAAATTCTTTAAAATTAACTCTTGAATACTTCAGAAGGTTCTCTGTAGGTTACTTTTGTGTCAAAGTGGTATTCTTTTCATCAGAACAATTTAAGACAGGTCTGTACTGCCAGAACTAGTTTCCTGCTGAAGTTTAAACATTTACTTTATCCTCCTTCTGTCATTTATGTCATTAGTTAGTCTTTAGAAAACAAAACAAAACCCCAAATGTCACGTTGCTTTAAATAAGGAAAAGAACGTTCCCATTGTCCCTGTTTGCATTAAAAAACAGATGAATCTGTTTGGAACGCGCTTACCAAAACAGTGTTACTTTGGATTAAAAACTTAAGGATGGTGAATTTGCCTCAGAATTAAAAAGTCCTGAGTGACTGGAAATCATGACTTCATGGGGTCTTCCAGACTATCTGAGCTCCCACATGTCTGGGGCATATTCTTCCTATGAGTTAGTGACTGTAATTTGCAGTGGTCATGTTGTAAGCCCTCCAAATGTCAGCATCCTGTTTACTTGCTTTAAAGTCCAGCAGTTATTACATTTTCTGTGTGCAGCTTGTGCTATCAGAAGAATGTAGCCTATGATACACAGAAGGGATACCTCTCCAAGATGAGCTGGCAGAATTATTTTGCAGTTCTCGATTTGTTGGGTGAGGAATTTTGTACTGGCAGTGGAGAAATTGCTTGTATTTGTCGGTATATTCTGGAGAAATGGAACCATTGTTACATTAAAAAGAAAAAAAACCATTATTGCTGGAAGTGAAATTGGAATATTACCATATTATAAGGGCTTTGTATATGTTATGTCAGACTTCTGAAGGGAGTTTATTACTGGTTCTGGGAGCGAGACAACTTCTTGAGAGACAGAAGTAATGCACTTAGTTCTGTTATGTCAGAGTAGTGATACTGAAAAATGCATTACTTGGGAGTTCTGTCTCCATTTAAAATGTCGTATGTCGCTGTATTAAGGAATAGAGTACCTGGAAGATGTGTCTTCTGGAGCTCTTTTCTTCATTTGACCTTGACTTCAGGCTACAACACCCCATTATAAATTATTTGAGTATCTTTGTCGTATCGTGATGTTACTTGCTAAGATCAGTTACCTAAAGCTGATGATAAAAAGTAAGTCAAGGGTACTGTCTCTTTAAAAAGCAGAAGTGTTTCCTGACATTTCACTTTCTCAGAATATTTTGCCAGTAGATTAAGTAATTGAGTTACTCTGTTTGCTTGTTTTTTTCAGTTGCATTCAGTGTTTCTTCTCCTTGACTGCTGCGCTTCTGGTTTCTTCCTCTCTCCTCTTGGTCATGACCTAAATATATGCACTTGCTCGCATGTAAGGGCTGTGACGCTGCGTGATGGCCACGTCACTGTCACTGCCTCTCAGATCTGCCTGAATTCACCTGGGAAAAGAGCATTTGTGCAGGACAAATGCAGGTCTTTTTGTCTCAGAGCGCAGTATACCAGCATATCAGCCTGTGTTTAACCCGGGGGAAAGCTGGGCCTGGCCGTACAATTACGTGTCATCCTCAGAGGTCGGGCCAGCTCGTTAAATCATGACGTGTGAAGAGAGATCAGTGCCCTGTGGTGTGGCTGTGACCCGTCAGATACGCGCTCAGCAACTCCTGTGTGCTCAAGATAGCAGCAGTAGTGGCAGAGGGTGTGGTGGGTGGGCGTGTGCCGGTGTTTTACAACGCCCTGTGCACGTATTCCTGTGCTTCGAGCTTTGAGGTCTCGGCCCCTTTCCTTAGGATCTTGAAAATGGGGCATGTACCACGAGCTAGTTAAAGGAAAGGGTCAAATTCGTTGCTCTGGCGTGCAGCTGGCGTGGATTTGGGTGTCTTGTGGTTTTGAGTGCTGCCCATTAAGGGTGCTGGCGTGAAGGTGTCAGAATTGTGGCTGGTGCAAGCCCAGGAGAGCCCCGTGTTAGAAACACACCGGTCATTTGTGTTTGAGGTTTTGAGTTTAAGTTTCTGCAGCGAAACCTTCATTTAGCACAAACCCCCATTACCTAATTTAGTGCTCTGCTGCTGCGTGAGGTTCTGTCCGGAGTTACCTGGCGCTGTGAGGATAGCCAAGGCTTGCCTTGATTCTCTGAAATTGCAGCTGGACTACAGGTTTGTTTTTTTAATCCCTGGTTGTATTAACATTACGACGTCATTAACATTACAACAATACAGGCATCACAAAGTGTTCCCCTACTGTGGTTAAATGTGGTCTGGCACAGCGAGCTGAGCCAAATCTGCAGATCTTGTATGTTGTTTAAATGTGCAGTGGAAATCATAAACTTGTGAGAACAAAGACCGTAAGAAGGTGTAATTAGGGGACAATCGGAAGTAGAAAATGAACGTTTTTTCAAGTGATGATTTTTCCAACCCTCCCTAATTTATTTCAGGTTTATGACCCCGACTGTTGTGACAGCATTCTTCTGGAGCTGCGGAAGTATCTGCCGAAATACTTCGGTGTCTGGTCACCACCTACTGCACCAAATGGTACTGTTCTAATTTTATCTGTCAATCCATTCTGGAAGTATCTTCTGGAGACTGATCTTTGGCAGTTGTGAGCTCTGTAGTTTTTTATTGGTCTCGTTTTGTAACCCACGAATGTCCCCTCTAACAGCTGGTTAGCTTTTCTTCTGGGGATTTTTCTGATTCACACGGGGGAAGTGGAGCTTCTGGAAGATACAGAAACAAAGGGATGCTGTGGGGTCTGTTTAAATACTTGGACAGCAAAACTGGACGCTGTGCTCCTTTAAAAATAACTCTGTCTTCTTTTGCTTGTGCTGTCACTTGATAGGCTTGTTTTCCAAAGAGAGTAGTGAGATAGGACCCAAAGACATGGTCTAATCTCTGCAAGAAGAAATCCAGGGAAGATTGTGGCAGCACCGCCGCTTTCTTGGCTCAGATTTGCCTTCACGCTTTCCTGTTTGGCACTGACTCAAATAGCTCTACCAGAGCTATATTTTTTCCTTCCCTCACAACGTTATATGTGTCATGGAGCCCACTTAATATCTATCCCCCTTCCAATTGCAAATAATTTTTTTTTTCTATTTGCAGTATGATCTTAAGATGTAAAAATAAAAATAAAAATCTAGCCAAGATCTGGTAATTGAACACAACCCTCATTTGCTTTGGGAATTCGCTAGCACTCTGCACCGTTGGGCCTGGATTTTGGCAGGTCTCCACCAGTCATCCAGACGTAGGAATAATGGTTTAAAGGAAGAGTAACTTTTGATTTTGTTTGGTTTTCTTCTTGGAAAGACTGTGCACTAACAGGAGCCCTCTTCATAGAAAGCTGTGGCAGCGGTTCAACCAAAACACTGCACTGCCAGCTCTGTTATCTGTAATATTAATGAGCTTTGTGCAGTCCTGATAGAAATCACAGATGTTGGAGACGATGAAGCTTAGCAGAATGACTGTGTGTCTTGTTCCTGTTGTAGACTGAGGATATATTTGTAGGTTTTTTGCAGCCCTGACATTGGAAGCTTGACCTTTCCATTGGCAGTCACTGTTTTACAAGCTCTGGGGACACAGCTCCATACAAGCTCTGGGTACTGAACCCAGTAGTTCCCTATTGTTGGTAAACTGGACCTGGTGACTTCTGAAAAAAACCAAAACTTAATTTAGGACCGCTCTGAGCTTGATTTGTGACCCTCTCTCGTGTGAGTTTCCATGTGGCAGGTAAGCAGGAGCTGCAGTGGATAAGGTGAAGAACACAAGCAATTTATTTCCTTACAGAAATATTTAGGAAGAACCATCAGTCTTCCATACTGAAAAAGCAGAGAAATGGATGAAGTTGCTATCTAAAAAGGGTGAAATGGATGAAATGTAAATGAAAATACAGGAAGTATGACAGAAAAGTATCAATACAATTTGTAAAAACACTGTCCTGTTCTGCTGAAATCACGCACCCTTTGCAGTGCTGCTGCAAAGGAAATGGAGGTGGAGGTGGGTGAGATGCTGCCTCCTTAAGCTTATCTAAAATTGGTTGGATTTGAACTTTATCTTCACTGGCATTGCAGGCTTTTGGAGTTCATTCACAAAGAAGTGGAAAAATTGTTATAAAGGTGTAGGAGCCATCTGCTGCTGAGTTTTCTGGGTTTGGCTACCTACTTGTTGCCCATGCTTTTGTTTTATTTATTTTTTTTTTAAATGACTTTACTGCTGCTCACTTCATACCCTTGCCTAATTTTGTTGCCTAACCCGAGAACAGGGTAGATAAATATAACACTGGTAAATAGAAGTGGGCAGGGCAAGTCTGTGATGAACGATATATACGGTGCAAATAAGCACCAAAATATTGCCAGAACACCCATGTGTAAACACTTGTTCTGTTTTCCTGAAGCTGTAATGAGAAAAAAATGACTTGTGATGCTTTATCCAGGGTGGCTTTGCTCTGCCCAGAGACGTGCACTGAACAAATGGAACAGTCCTAATTCTGAGCCAGCAGTTACCTAATGAGAAAGACTTAAATAACTCCAAAAAGCGCGAGAGAAATGAGTAATTTCTGGATAATTCACGGGCTTTGCCAAATAATTAGTGTATTTCCCAGGGTTAGCGTTAGCTGTGAAGTTATTTTAGTGCTTCATTTTTTAAAAATAGCTATTGTTACGTTTTTTAGGAGGTCAGTAAGATAGTCTAGTTTAACAGGCCTGAAATTAAGGGGGAATTAAGCAGTGACAGATATTTAGGACTTTCAAATATTTGGGAGGTGCTGAATGTTGATGCTGTATGGTTAAAAAGAGGAAAGTAGACAGTGTCCTTGTGTTTATTGTCTTTCCTCACCTCCCATGGCAAACCTGTGGCTCTGTTTTTTTTCTCTCTGCTTTTGAGAGCCAAGTTCTGAAAACACTGAACTTCATTTAGTTGTTTTCTGGGTTGTTTTAGGATGGTGACACAAATCTGTCATTTGCAGGGATTTCTGTAGTATGCAAAAAGGATTGGTGTGAAGGATGACAGATTTTTAACAGTTTTTAATAACAGGTAGCTAAGAGGTTTTATGGACTCCCCAGGTTTGGGGAGTGGTTCCCCAAAGTCCTGCAAAAGCTGTGCTAATATCTGACTGAATTAGATCTCTGTATAACAACTTCAAGTAGTAAAAGTGGCACCTGCCTGATGCAGAATACACTGCCTGGTATGGAGAGTATTTGCCCTGCTTTTTCCTTGGGGATATTCCCTGAGCAAACACCGAGCATGTCTGCTGCCTGGGGCTCCTCAAAAATGAACTGCAAGTTATTTAAGCTTGGATGTATTCCTGCAGCTGTAGTTAGTGGGGGAGCTGGTCTGTATTTCCTGAGAATGACTTTACGTTCACAAGTTGCCCAGTCCCATTCATACACAAACCAGGCATCTCAGGCTTAAATTAAACCTGTTTCAGATTGATAAGTGCACACTTTGGGAAACTGGAACATTTCATGATGGTGTAAGTTGGGACATTTCATGACGATTATCGCGGTGGTATAAAAATTGAAGCTCTCATAGTAATAAAGTCATAAAAATCGCTGTAATTTCTTTCTTCTTGTTAGGGGAAATGAAACATTGCTTATTTACTTTGTCTTGACTCTTGACTGGTTTTGTTACCTGGCTGTACAACTTTCAAACAAAAAAAAACCACTTCTTGCCTTTGCTCTTTTTAAATTTGAACTGGTTTTGCTTTGGCAATTTCATTTTAGATCATGCTGCAGGATTGGGGAGTAATGCAATGTTTGTGTATTTGGACTGCATTAAGTCAAAGAAATACACGTGTGGAATAGGCTGTGCTAGAAAGAAAACCAGACTTTATGTTTGTGCCTGGTGACAGCGGGATTTGAAGAAGCAGATATGAAAAATTAGACACCAACAGAATTTGTGGGTGTCAGTGTTTGGAGATAAATTTGACTCTTAAAAAAACTTATGCGATGTTAAGCCTTACGCTGTTCACCTTCCTCCCAAGGAGCTTGGCTAAAGCTGTGCTTACTATTTTGCTTTCACCCTGGCAAAAGTTTGGGTTTTGACAAAAGTTTTGGGGTTTTTTTTTTGACAGATACGTATCTAAAACTGGAAGATGTGACCCGTAAGTTTAATAAACCTTGCATAATGGACGTAAAAATAGGTCAGAAAAGTTATGATCCGTATGCTTCAGTGGAGAAGATACAGCAGCAGGTCAGCAAGTATCCGCTGATGGAAGAGATCGGATTTTTGGTGCTCGGCATGAGGGTAAGAACTTGCTTTGTCTTCACTTTCAGCTTGTGCTCAGCTTATCTTGTTCCACACCGGGTACAGTGACTGGTTTTCCTAGCAAAGGACAGTCCTCCTGTGTTTTACTTTATGTAAATAAAGCATTATCTGATGTGTTGGCAGTCCTGGCATTAACTGTTGTGTGAAATCTGCTCCCAGACACTGGTCTGGTTGACACCAGGTGTTTAACTTGGCTGTGTCCCTTACAGGAAGCTATTTGCAACCTGGGCACTGTATATGTATACAAGAGAGAGGCTGGGTATTTAAAACTGAATATAGTTGCAATTAATTCTTCACCACCACAGTAGGTATTTAAAATTATTGAGGTATTTTTGTTTTGGTTTTGTTTTTGTTTTTTTTTTTTCCTTTTAGGCTTATATCAGAGATTTACACACCCAAACAGTCATTCTAATAATTTAATAATGAGCTGCATCCTCTCCTCATGTTTCATCTCGATGTTCTTTTATAAATAAAACTATTTTTTACATGATTTTTCTGTTTAGGGAAGAGTAAGTAAGCTCTCAGAGGTGATGCATGTAGCCATGTTCTGCATTTTAAAAAAGCTTTCCATCAGAAGGAAACCCCTTTTGATGCTTACACCCTCAAGGAACAGCTGTCAGGGAAGGTTAGTAGGGCATGGATGAGGCCCTGCAGATGTCTGCACTAACTCTTAATTACTCTTAATTACTTAGAAACACTAAGATTCAGTGTCTGTGTGCTGGCACCCTCAAAACTTCGTTGTGCAGAAAAGCTGTACAGAACATTTGTGGCTCAGTGACAGGCGTGCGTTGATGTCAGTACTGAGCTCCTGATGCAACCCAAAAGTATCTTTTTCTGCTGTGATTGCTGCAGAAACGTGAGATTTTGTTTTGGTGTGAGATTTTTGCCTTCCTTCTTGCGTACACAAAGCCAGGGGGTCCTCAAACTCTGCGTCGAGATGCGTAAATGGCTGGAGACTCGGATAAGCTTCCTCCCTGCTGTTCAGCAGCACCCAGGTTGCACCACTGTTTGAGCTAATCCTAACATCTCTGTAATGTTCTGTGTGGAATTGCCTGAGCTCCCAGCCTTAACTCTGCCTCGAGATAAGCTGCTACAGCTATAAATTATAGTGGTCATGTGTGGTAATTACGTAAAGCCCACGGACGAGAACGGGAGAGTCGACTCAAAAAAAAAAAAAAACCCCAGCCAAACAGTCAGGACGGAAAAGGAAGGTTAGAGATTACAGCTTTGGATTTGATCTGTGTCATTACATAACCTTTCTTATCTGGTGCGTGAAACAATGTACTTTGTGTCCTTTGTTTTGTGAGGGTGCAGAAGGAAGGATTGATGGCTTTGTATCTTTGTCCCGCTGCAGGAATTTTTTTGATCTCCCCTTACTCAGACTGGGTGTGTGCTGATGATTCCCCCCATGCAGTGCCGTTTTCCGTCCAGTGTTCAATTAGACTGAGATTTGTTTTTTGTGCCTCTGGCACCAAATTTGCGTGTTGGAGGTTGTTTTCCGAAGAGAACCGAAGAGGTTCCTCCTCCCCTCACGCAACACTTGGCAAAGTCTGAATTCACGAGGCAGTTTCTCTGCCTCTTGATTATGGCCTGTCTGCTTGCTTTATTTTTGCAAGATTCCAGCCCTACTATAAACCATTTTCCTGGATGCACATGTACTGCCCAGAACAGCTCACAGAGTGGACGAAGTTTGCTCGTGTTTGTTGGACAAAACATGGTGTAACATGATTCAGGAATTAGTCCATTCAGTGTTATTTTTAACGTGGAGGTGGGCTTGCCTCATAAGTTTCTGTTTTAGAAGGGCAAGAAAGAGAGGGCTAGGAGAAAAAGAATGTTTTTTTTTCTAAAGCAGCTGTGGTATAAGTTGTCATAAAGAGATACAAACAAAAAAAAAGTGTTACAGGTGGGGGTTTTACCCCAAAACTTACTTAGAGTGTATTTTTATCTCAAAAGCTATTGATACAGCTTTTTTTTTATGCACTGGTAAATAAGCAGTCATCTGTTCATATATCAAATATGGATGGTTTGCCCTTAAAAAGTGAGTCTCCTGTCTGGCACAGCATTAATTTATGTGCACAGTTCTGGCATTTGACATGCTAACCTATATTTATCTTACACACTGAACAGACAGAACAAATGCATGGAAATGCATTTAGAAAATAAAGTTACTGAAATAACACTGGCTAAACCCACAATTCCATGTATAGGGGAGAGGTTCCTTTCTTTAACAGGTACCCCATCCCTGAAAATGTCCAAGGCCAGGTTGGACAGGGCAGCCTGGTCTAGTGGAAGGTGTCCCTGCCCATGGCAAGGGATTGGAACTGGATTGTCTTTTAAGGTCCCTTCGAAACCAAACCACTTGGAGATTCTGTGAGATTGGATGTGTTTTGTTACTGAAGTGGTGAGAGTTTAAATATAAGCTGGAAATCTCAGGTTCTGTTGCAATAGCAAAAACACAAATTGTGATACGGTTTCAGTAGTAGACACACACATAGATAAGGAATCTCTTCACAGCACGGGCAGTGTTGAGCACAGATCATTCTGCTTGCTGTTGAGTACAAGCAGAACGTGTGGGCTGTGCTCTCATTTCAGATTCGCAGTCCATTTGGAATCCACAGTTCCCAGTTTCCTTTTTTTCCCAGAAGATCTTGATTGCAATCTATTCCACAGTATTTCCAAAACGCTTTTTTTGAAGCAGTGTAATCCATCGTTGACCTCTGTGGTGTGTACCTGCGGATATGCAGGCAGTCAAGTCTAATAATCAAAGCTGGGTTTAGAAGTGAATTTCCTAATCTGCAGCACATGTTTCTGCGGGGTATTTTCAAACTGACTGTAGCTGAGTCTGTTTTATGAGTTCTTCATGAACTCTTTCTAGTATTGTGATAAGTTTCATAAGCTCTGATCTGTTAATAACGAGATTTAGGAAGGGAGGAGTAATAAAGGTACTAAATACCAAGTCTAGTGTTCAGATTCTTCCACGGTAAAAAATTACCAGAACTGGGTTTTTTACATTTTTAAGTCCAATTCGAGCTTTGGTGTTTAAGAAAACAGGAAGACAAAGCAAAACAAAAACTAAAACCCAAACAAACCAACCACCTCCCCAACCAGCAAAACACAAAAACCCCATAGCAAACCAACTGCTCTCAGCAGCAGTGACAGTGTGAGAACATTGCAGAGATCTCGAGTTAGAGGATGTATTTTCACTCTGCAGGTGCCCTCTGTTGTGCTGTGCCGGGGTTGTTTTCCTGAGTTTCAGTTGTGTGGATTTAATAGATACTTTTTGCAGATGTGAAACAGCTCTGCAAGTTACTGAGTGGAGATTTTTGTTTGTGCTTGCAGTCCCCCAAACAGGAAATAGTAGCCTTAACGTGTACTTAAATTGTACTTTCTGGAAGTCAGGGAGTTGCCCCAGGTAAGTATTTGAACAATGTGTACATTTTTCTGCCTCGCCACGGAAGTTGGTACTGAATTCCCATAATTAATATTACATGACATTTGATACCTATTTTTCCCAGTTTAATATCCTAAAGCTGAAGTCGCAAGGTTTCCAAACTATGATTTTTTTTTGATGTGCTGCCCATAGAGAGTCACTGCTGCTGCCAGTTGAAAGCCTGAACCTGTTAACGTGCTGGATTCCAGAGGTGATTGTGCAGGAACCTGACTGAGTGGGAGCTGCTTGTAGGCACCCAGAGGAGCCTTCCCATTGTCAACCAGAACAGCTCTGATCTTGCGTACTGAGGATATATAAAAACGACTGATGGAGCAGGAGGCAGTGTTTTGCAGCTCACAGGGTTTTTCTTTGTCTTGCACTCTGCAGTGAACCTCCCTGTGAGCGCAGAGCAAACACATAGCAAGCTGTGGCATAGGGATGAGAAATGAGATGTTCCTGGCTAATCATTTCTTGGGGGGGTAGGTGATGGTNTTTGTTTTGGTGTGAGATTTTTGCCTTCCTTCTCGCGTACACAAAGCCAGGGGGTCCTCAAACTCTGCGTCGAGATGCGTAAATGGCTGGAGACTCGGATAAGCTTCCTCCTTGCTGTTCAGCAGCACCCAGGTTGCACCACTGTTTGAGCTAATCCTAACATCTCTGTAATGTTCTGTGTGGAATTGCCTGAGCTCCCAGCCTTAACTCTGCCTCGAGATAAGCTGCTCCAGCTATAACTTATAGTGGTCATGTGTGGTAATTACGTAAAGCCCACGGACGAGAACGGGGGAGTCGACTCAAAAAAAAAAAAAAAAACCCCAGCCAAACAGTCAGGACGGAAAAGGAAGGTTAGAGATTACAGCTTTGGATTTGATCTGTGTCATTACATAACCTTTCTTATCTGGTGCGTGAAACAATGTACTTTGTGTCCTTTGTTTTGGGAGGGTGCAGAAGGAAGGATTGATGGCTTTGTATCTTTGTCCCGCTGCAGGAATTTTTTTGATCTCCCCTTACTCAGACTGGGTGTGTGCTGATGATTCCCCCCATGCAGTGCAGTTTTCCTTCCAGTGTTCAATTAGACTGAGATTTGTTTTTTGTGCCTCTGGCACCAAATTTGCGTGTTGGAGGTTGTTTTCCGAAGAGAACTGAAGAGGTTCCTCCTCCCCTCACGCAACACTTGGCAAAGTCTGAATTCACGAGGCAGTTTCTCTGCCTCTTGATTATGGCCTGTCTGCTTGCTTTATTTTCGCAAGATTCCAGCCCTACTATAAACCATTTTCCTGGATGCACATGTACTGCCCAGAACAGCTCACATGGTGGACGAAGTTTGCTCGTGTTTGTTGGACAAAACATGGTGTAACATGATTCAGGAATTAGTCCATTCAGTGTTATTTTTAACGTGGAGGTGGGCTTGCCTCATAAGTTTCTGTTTTAGAAGGGCAAGAAAGAGAGGGCTAGGAGAAAAAGAATGTTTTTTTTTCTAAAGCAGCTGTGGTATAAGTTGTCATAAAGAGATACAAACAAAAAAAAAGTGTTACAGGTGGGGGTTTTACCCCAAAACTTACTTAGAGTGTATTTTTATCTCAAAAGCTATTGATACAGCTTTTTTTTTATG